AACTCAAATTTATTGCATCGTTTAATGCGACTTTACAATGCAGATTTTTCAGACTCCCAGTTATTAGATCAAGGCAGTTCCGTAGATGATATGGAGGCCATGGCTACTGTTGTGTCCTGTACAATTTTTTCGATGGGCACTTCATGGTCCCTCTGCCATGGAAGAAGGTTTTCAATACCGGTGTGGGACAGCGCTCTCGAGATTGAACAGCCTGAAGCGGCGCTTAATCAATGACGGGGCGCTACGATTGCTTTACGCACAAACGATGAAGATGTCTATAGTGAAGGAATATGCTGTACCAGTTCCGGGGGAACAGTTACATTGAGACCTTCATCCGCGTTGATACCTAACTCATCATGCAGTACTGAACCCAAAAAAAGCTGGAAAAGCTGCGTATAGTTTTGGGTTGTGCGGCCAAACACAAGGGGCAATCGTGGAATGAAATGCTCAATCAAGATACAATTTGGTGAGTATACTTTTGCGATTCCGAGAAGAACGGTATGTTTGGGAAAATCTAGTGTTTGTACGCCAGTCCATTCGCACTTGAGTGAAACAGCCGAAACGGATACAAATCCCAAAATAGAACACGATTGATCCGTAAACTTCTACGATACTAAATTAGAAAAATCATTACAAAAAGTACAACAAAGCAAACCTCCAATGAGCGACCAAAAGCACTCAAACTTACACAAACTTACGGCTATCGGAAAAAATTCCATCAAAGGCACTAGGCATGACATAAGCCTCAGAATGAAGAGACCGAATGCTCCATTGCGGAAATCTGGTTTAAAGAGAAGCATAGTGTACGAGTTATCTGGGGGGCATATTGGGTTCTGCTATCGCAAACAATCAAATAGAGAAGGCAGGCAAACTATAGGGTTTTCATTCAACATGGCTGGAATTCTAGCCGTGATCACTTTATAACTAGGGGAATGAAAAACGAAAATTAGGACAAGAATCAACTTTGAACCCGATCACCCCAAGGTTGGGTAAGCTTAGGTGTACTAAGCAACACTCTTTAGCTAGGGGGGTTAAAAAGCCCTATGGTATTCCGTACAGGATTAGAATGGTGGTTCACCATTGGTGTTTCTTATTGTTGTCTCAGTCAGGGGCAGCACAAAAGTTTGTAGCTGAAACCCCTTGTGAGCCATAAAAATGGCTCACTCCCTGTTTACAGGGCTGGTCAGCGAGCAAGCGCTACCATTTGCACCTGTTACCCGTATGATTTAGGGTTCGTCTTGCTTTACCAAACCCTAGGAGACGTCGCCACCTATCTCCCTCTGTTGAAGGTGTGTTGGCATTCTTCAGTTTATCCTGTGAAGGTGGTTTGTAAGTGCGCGAAAATCATTCAGTGAAATAAACTTAAAATAAAAGAGAAAAAATTTCAAGTGGTTTGGGGTATAACTTAATCTGTAATAAACGTCTTGTGAACCCTCTTCCTCCTCTTCGATGCCAAGAAATCAGTTTACCAACAATGTGGCAGCAGCGCAATGATCTTTGGCTTATGTGATACCAACTGGTAACGTCTGCTTGGCATATACGTAAACAATTTACTAACACGTTTTTTTGTAAAAAAAAATGTGTTAGTAATAAAAACATTCCACAACACGAATTGGAATGCGGACCAAACGTCCGGTACGAGTGGTTCTGGGGTTTGAACCAGCTAAAGCAGAACGCAGTGGAGGCGTTCCTGAAGTGAAGGGTAATGTGGCCGGGGTGGGAGGAATGGTCGAATTTCGTATGGTCAACAATGGGGTGGGGGCTATCGGTGTGGTGGTGTCCGTGGCCCTGGGGTTCGAAGGGGTTGTCGCGACGGTTGTTGCGTCTATGTAAGCTGGCTTTGTGCGGTCGATGGAGATAGCATCGCGGTGACGGTTCCTATCGATGACTATCTGTTTTTCACTACGCCGAAGTACGCGATAAGGGCCTGTAGGGGTCGGCGTACTGCGTCGCAACGGACCGAAACGTGTGTGCAAGTCTTCAAATCTCGATGTATGTTGCCGACGCGTAACGGCCGGGGTTAACTCACGCGTGTGATGAGTAAGCCGTTGGACGTAATCCGGCGATGCTTGCCGTGAAGATTTGTGTGAGGAAATATATTCTCCGGGAAGACGGAGTGTAGTTCCATTTACTAGTTCGGCCGGCGTGCACTTGAGGTCGTCTTTGATGGCATTTCTTATGTCAAGTAGGACGAGTCGGAGTGCCTCCGTCCACGAAATGACGGAATGTGCATTAAGTGCAGCTTTGAGCCGTCGATGAAAACGCTCGACGAGGCCGTTAGCGGCCGAGTGATATGCTGTGCTATGTATACGTTGACATCCTAACATGGCCGTTAGCGAGTTAAGTAATGCGGACTCAAATTGAGGGCCGTGGTCTGTAGTCAACGTAGTAGGGCACCCGAAATTCGCTACCCAACGCTCAAAGAAAGTCTTAGTTACAGTTTCAGTCGAGACGTCGGTAATCGGAACTGCTTCTGGCCAACGCGTGAAACGATCTACGCAGGTCAGAATGTAGGTAAAACCTTGCGATGGCGGCAACGGTCCCACTAAATCTAAGTGTATGTGACCGAACCTAGCATTGGGAGTGCCAAAAGTACCAAGAGGGCTACTAGTGTGTCTGGCCAACTTAGATTTTTGGCACGCCAAAATGCAACGTGCCCAACCAACTGCGCACATCATTTTGCATGGATTGCCAGACGAAACATTGGCTGACTAGCGCCGAACTGGCTCCAATACCTGGATCAGAGAGGTTGTGCAATGTATCGAAAACTACTCTGCGCATCTGCACGGGTACCCAAGGACGAGGTGGGGTGCGTGAAACCTCCAACTAGATCGTGCCCTCGGAAGTGGTTAGTGGTAAACGCTGAAGATTTAAAGAGGACTCCAACGCGTTTTGCAAGTCCGAGTCGGAATCTTGCAGTCGTGCCATACGTGTCAAATTGATCACATTATTAGAAACTATCGCTATGCGCGAGAGGGCATCGGTAACGACATTATCCATACCTGCAACGTGTCGAATGTCAGTAGTAAACTGCGACACGTAGTCCAAGTGACGTATCTCTCGAGGAGAGTATCTGTCACTAGAGGACTTGAGAGCGTATGTGAGGGGCTTATGGTCAGTGAAGATGATGAAATCACGACCTTCTAGTGAATGACGAAAATGATGAACAGCCAAGTATGCTGCGAATAGTTCCCGACCGAAAGTGCTGTACCTAGTGGCTGCGTCTGAAAAACGTTGAGAGTAGAAACCCAAAGGTTGCCAGGCACTATCTTTTCACTGTTTGAGNTATTGGAGACTGCCAACTTAATGGCATCAAAAGCCTGCTGTGCTGATGGATTCAGTTCCTCTGAGTAAGTCCGTAAGTGGACGAACTACCTGGGCGCATTCTGATATGAACCTACGATAGTAGTTGATCTTCCCTAAGGAACGACGTAGTTCGGTCGCCGTCATAGGTGGAGGAAAATCG